GAGAAACAGAAAAAATGTTCTGTTGCCTTCATATTTTATTATAGTCATCTTCCACAAGTAAGACCTTAGGCCACACTACTGACAATTATTAAACTATTCCTGATATACTGTTTTCTATACAACATAGAAAAAAATAAAATCTTTTGAAAATTCGGAGTATTGCTTCTATTTTGTAAAGAATGGATAGGAGCACCTGTGGCTTTCTATTATTGAGAGAGCATGGTGTACTTCACCCACAAGCTCTGTTCTTAAGGTGAAAAGATTGAACTTAGTCGATTCACTCACAGATACCACAAGTCGCTGCTATGTGGCACAAAGAAGATGCAGTGTGTTTGGAGACACAAATGAATATATATTTCCAAAAATTCAAATTCTATTGAAAACTTTTAATAAAAGCAATACCCCCAGAATTCTTTTAGTAAGAAGTGGGTAAAGACAATACTTATTGGGAGTACTGAGCATTTCATTATTTTGCCATGAATATACCAGCTGCTCTGGGGAAGAATGGAAAGGTAGAATAAATCACCTCAAGATGACGGAAAGTAAACAGTATTATGTACAAAGTATTTTGCTAGCCTGTATAACACATTTCTAAAGTCCTCCTATTCTCTTCTTTGAGAAAATATTAATTCTTGTCTTAGTCACTTTCTTGTTGCTGGGACACAATACCCGATACTTGCAATTTGAAGGAGGAAAGGTTTATTTTGGCTCATAGTTTGTAGAGGCTTCAGCCCACAGTCAGCTGACTCCAAGGCATTGCAGCAGGGCAGAGTGCTGTGGCAGAGGAAAAGCTGCTAGTGGCATGGCAGCCAGGAAGCAGAGAGTCAAGGGAGGAGCCAGACAGGGAGCTGTAACCTTCCTGGTTACACCCAGTGACCTGCCTCTTCCCATCAGGCTACACCTCCTAATAGGACTAATCCACTAGGAGGTACAGCCTCCCTATTTCCCAATCACCTCCCCAAAGTCTCACCTATGAATACATAAGGGTCGTTGGGGAAACCTAGACAGAAACCATAATAATTCTCTACCAGAAATTTGCATAATTATTTTTTGTACATAGCATTCTTCTTTCAACCAGTCTCTCATCTTGCCATCTCATACTATTCTGGTATTCCATGATACACTACAAGGTGTGACTGAAATATAAGGTGAACATTTAATTTAAAAAAAAAATATATTATTGTGCTGAAAGACAAATTGCCCTCAAACTACTCCCCTCCCCCCTTATTTCAAAGGCACTTATCCTATTGTTCTTGCCACTTTCTGAAGTAGCTCTACAGGTCCTTTTTTGTGAGTGTCTTCATAAGGTGATAAAAAATACAATGAATAGTGCTGTTGAGTAGCATCCAATGGAAATGCAAGCTCATAAGAACGTTATATATCCTCATTTACCCTGTTTACCACATCTGGCACCATATGACTTCTGGCTCATCTCCAAAGTCAAAATACCTGCAAGAGGTAAACTTTTTGAACCCATTCAGGACACTGAGGCAGCCATAATATCACAACTAAAGATACTCATGAAAGAGAACTTCAAGACTGCTTCAGAAAGTGAAAGGAATAAGGGGAAAGTGTGTTTCAAGCAGAGGGTGGCATGGGTATTCTGAGGTAGATTAATAACAATGTGTTTCTTACTGTAATAAATTTGTTTTTAACTTAAATATTCACTTTATTTTTCTATCACATTTCACATATTGAGTGTATCAAGAGAGACACAAAGATAAAAAAAAAAACTCATCAGTCAAAAAAAGTCACATAGGTCAGCAGCATCAGGCCCTTTACGCGCCTGTTGTCAGGTGCATAGAGCAAAACATCTGAATCGAATTGCTTTGACAACTACTATGGTCACTGCCAATCAATGCGCCTGCCTTTCAATTAGTCCTTGGACCACTGTTGTTTCGATGATTTTTATATGTGAGGCACCCCACCAACTGATATACATGTGTTTTAGCTGTTAGCATAAATGCTGATACACACTGAACTACCTCCCTTTGCCTGTCTAGCCTCAGATGATATTCGTACATCATTGTATAATTTATTTCCTACATCTCACAGAAACAGAGGGATCAAAACTTTTTAGTTAACTTTAGGCATTAGTGATAATTAGAATATTCACAACATTGTTTACTATTGGGAAAGAAAAAGTGAGCATGATATAATACGACCTAGTTTTGCAATTTGGCTCTCCATTTACAATCTTTAGACTATAGAGAATTTCTCTTAGTGTCAGATTTACGACATGTAAAGGAGAGTATTATCCTCATTTTATATTAGAGGGCTGTCTTATAACTCATATAAGATAATGTATAGAAAATTTTGTAAATTATTAAGTACTCTATAGATGCTTAATATAAAAAATTAGAGATTCTTAACAGACCCAAATATCAAGCCCTGGCTAATGCTTCATGTACAGTAAATAATATTTCAGTGAGAAATTAAATAAACAAATCTGTTCTTATCCCTCTCCCTTTTAAAGACAGACTCTATTTATAATCTTTCAGGTCACACAAATAAAATGATAATTCTTCTAACACATATTTAAAAATGATTTTTTTAACCTTGTTAAAGAGTACTAAAATAATTCTCCTGCATTTTAATTTCTCACCTAAAATGAAGCATTGCCCTTCTGTGTTTTTTGTTTTCATAGATCCTTAAATCTTTTATGGTTGGTGTCATATCTTTGCAATATTTCCATTTGTGTCCCCTCGTATGATACACTGAACTATGTTTGCCAAATCTAGTAAAAACTTCATTGCAAAGCACCAGAACAGAGCAAAATGAACACAGAGCAGCATTTGTTTTCACAGTGTCAACAATTAACCAATAAAATCAGGCAAATAAAGCAAAGTTTGGAAATTTAGAGTCTGTTTGACATTATAGGATATTAAGGATGCCTTGAAAATGGTCACCAGGAGCAGTTAAAAAGCAGTCAACAGGGCTGTCATCATGTTTATAAAAGCAACATTATGTGAAGCACCTCTCTGATTTCATTTCCAGGTTGGAAACATGCCCATCTTTGCAGAATACATTACCATGTCCTGTTCCTTAGCAAGCACTCTATTAATTGCCTGGCTATTTGAACAAATACTTTGCTGACATGTCTTTTGAAGGAAGCAACTAATGATCCCATTGCTAGTGACTAATGATCATTCTGGAAAGAAGAGAAAACAAGGAAGAACACGAGTTACTTGTTTCAGTGCAGATCTCTTGTCCACATGGGTATGATAGTATCTGAAAAACTAGAACACACTTCAAATTTTCCTGAAGCATTTACGATTGAGTGAGAAGCAAGCCACACTGATACACCCTAGAAACTTCCAATGACAGCTGACTTTGGGGCAGAGAATTGCGTGGATTAGTCCCAGAAACTTGCCTAGTTTTAAATTTTTAAATTTTTTGGTCATTTTTTTTGAGACAGGGTCTCCCTATGCAGTTCAGGCTGGCCTTGAGTTCACTTTGTAGCCCAAGCTGGTCTCAAACTCGCAGGGATCCTCCTGCCTCAGCGTCCCAAGTGCTGGGATTACAGGCATGCGCCACCATGCCCAGCCAAAGTTTTAAATTTTTATTTTTTATTTGTATTTATTTTAGAAAATTAAAAAGAGGAATGATTTAGAAAGAACCAGAATTCCTAAGGAAAATCAATTTCCAGGGGAAGCTTTGGAGAATACAGAGCAAAAGTTGACTCAACAAGGTACAGGAAGATATTTTCCACGATTGATCCATAACCCTGGGGCTGCCTACCAAGATCCATACATAGATGGGGCAAACAAAGTACAACCTCAGGAGGAACTCTCAAGCTACTTGCCCAACCTAGTCCCAGCCCTGCAGCTTACAGAAGCATCTGATTAAATCATTTCACTTTGACCATTAAAAGAACCAGTAAATATATACTTATTCAATAACAACAACCATAAGCCAACATCACTGGTCTGTTCCATTATACTTTAAAGTTCTCAAACAACTCACATGCTTTTTTACATTCCATCAGTGTCAGCTTCCTGGGGATAAAATTTCAAAATTCATTAATACCATTTCAGAGATGAACGAATAGGTTCATCTTATAGAGAGGCTCTGTGATTCGATGGAGGTAGAAGAAGTAGAACTTGAATTCAGGGCTTCTGACTCTGTGCCTAGCTCTTTTCTAATTATACTATACCACACATAAGTCTTCCTCTGAAGTCTTTTATAGCACTCTTTATATTTATTGTTTAAATATTTATTTACTTATTTATTTATTTCTGGGGGTTGAACTCAGGGCCTTTGCTCCAAGCTACATCTTCAGCCCTTTTTATATATTTTATTTGGGGACACGCATGCCTCTGGTGGCTTGAGCACACAGTTCTCCTGTGCCACCCTCCCAGTGCTGGGATTAAATGCATGCCCCACTACACCCTGCTTACAGCACTCTGATCTACATTTATTAGTTATATAAGTTATTGTGGTCCCTGGAAGACAGTATCAATGAAGCTACCTTAAATGTATCTGTAGTTTACTGCCCTTAAGTAGTCCAGTGAGAAAGCAGGAAGAATTCATCTAATGAGTATTGATATTAGGCTTTAATTTTAAGAAAAACCAAAACTATATATGAACCTCACAGATGAATATTTTACCATTGCCATTAGTCGCACAGAATCATTTTGTTTGTGTTACCTTTAACAAAATGCAGATACCATCTGAAGCATATGGGTAATTTACTCAGATTTGTAAAAAAAAAAGAAAAAAAACCCCTGGTATTTAGGCAGTTCTGTACAGTATTTGAGAGCTGTCTCTCCCTGTACTGCGAAATCACCACAAAAAAAAGAAAAAAAGGCTTAGTAAGCAACATATGGTATGTGGTCTTTCATCATAGGGTCTCACTTCAAACAAAAACTTTCTAAACACTAACAGGAAATACAAATTAGGCATCCACAAACATACTTTGAGTTGCAAATTTAATTTCCTGGCTATAGTGAGTTAATATAGAGAGTCTAACTTATTTAAAAGGGAAGAGAGAGACTTACCCCTCCCCATGTTTTCTCGTGGCCTCTGGCAGGTCCTAGATGATGATCCTCTGCACAAAAGAGAGCACACACACAGTCAGATTCATGGAGGCTGAGTCACTACATCAGATAAGCTCCATTACAGCTGATGTGGGCAATGTGAGCATTTTGTTTCCGTGCATTCCAATCTTCCTTCTGTACAAAAATGTTTTCTCTATCAAGGATATTTAATCTGAGAGGACAGAAACATAGTATTCCAGAAAGCCTGGGCTCTAAATTAACTTACTATGACCTTTTTTATCTGGTAGTAGTTTCTGCCCTTACCAAATAAATATCGTTAAATTGGTCACGTACTTATCTCTTATGAAGGCAGAGATACCAACAAAAACTGGTGGACAAAAATGGCAAAAAGAAAAAAAGAAAAAACCCAATATTAATAACCATCCACACATGTTATTACCTTGCCTGCCCCTGGTTCCCCCTTGATATCATTCTGTGACAAATCCAATACCTTTTATAGCTAACATTGTCCTGAATGGTGTCAAACAGCAGCAACCCTAATCAAATTATCCCTGAGGCAAAACAGCCAACAGAATTATTCACAATAAACAGAATGAGTCAATGTCCACAAACTACTGACAGAAATAATCTTTGGAGAAACAAAAATCACATTTTACAATTGTAGAAAGAATAGAACATAGCGGAGCAGGAATTTTCTTTATAAAAGCATATATATATTTTCTTACAAGTTCCAATCAGAGAGCTGCCATACATTTACTCTTCACATGCCATGTTCCCAATATGGAGCTAAGCACCTGAGAGGAAAGCTGGATATACTCCAAAAGTCTATTAGAAATGAATGGATAAAGAGAATGTGGTATTTATACATAATGCAATACTGCTCTACCATAAAGGATAAATTTGAGGCATTTGCAGGAAAATGAACCCACCTTGAGATCATGATATTAAGAGAAATAAACCAGACACACAAGCTGAAATACTGTATAACATGTCTTATATGCATAGGTGTCCTTACTATAAGACTTTTCAGAGCCTAAAGTGATAGTGCACAATGTGACAAAAGTAGTCTCACCCTATTTGTCTATTTAGATCTTTTTAAAAATGATCAACATTTTGCAGGAGTTCTAGTTTATGGAGCTCATTTTGGGACACTGGGCAAGGTAATTACAAAAGTCTCTTGCAACTCAGAAATGCTATTATTTTCTAACAAGCTATTAATTATAAGAAAGAAAATTAGCATAAATTTAATTAAGAAAGAATGGGGCCAGATTGCCAGAGAATATTGGAGCTGATAGGAACTTTATAAATTATCACTCCATCTTTATTGAAACTTGCAAAGAACCCTCAAAATATCTTTTTTTTTTTTTTTTTGTCTTTTTGTGACAGGGTATCCCTGTGCAGTTGAGGCTGGCCTTGAGCTCACTTTGTAGCCCAGGCTGGCCTCGAACCTGCAGTGGTCCTCCTGCTTCAGCCTCCCAAGTGCTGGGATTATAGGAGTGTGCTACCATGCCCAGCAAACCTCAAAATATCTTATGCAGGACACCAATTTATAAAATGAGTTCATGTAAAAGTCTTCAGGTTTAATTGGAGTGGAGGGCTGCAGGATCCTGCTAGGATTTCCCCTTCAGGCAGCCTGAATATACAGCCATCAGGAAACCCAACAATAATAGGAACCACTTCAAGCTATGAAAGGCTTTAGGACAGAGTTACAGTTTTTCCATATAAGCACAGAAAGGCCCCTCACGCTTTCCAAATATTTCAGTTTTAACTTTTCTGTAAACCCCTCCCAAACAGAAGAATAAAATATCCACTATATTAGCATAATTATAAGACCTTTTCAATTCAGTGAGAAACAGAAGAAAGGCGACATCCTAAAATGGAATCCATGTACAAACGAGAAGCCATGAAAGAATATTTGTTTTAACTTTACTGTAAACCCTTCCCAATCAGACGAATAAAATACCCACTATATTAGCATAATTATAACATCTTTTAACTCAAGTGAAAAACATAAGAAAGTCCACATCCTAAAGTGGAATCTATGTACAAATGAGAAGCCATGAAAGAATTAAAGAAGGGAGCGATATGGTTAAATTTGGATTTTAAGAAGATATTTCTAGCAACAGAAGGAAAAGGAGATTTGAGGTGTGAGAGTGGCTTGACCAGGAATGGGGATATCAGAGAGACTAGATAAATCTGGCAGGACTTCATGTATTTTATTTCTTGTTTAGTCTTTAATATTTAATACAGTCATTTTGAAAAGAATCAAGCCTATTTCAGTTGTGCTAGGGGAAACCACAAAAGAAAGGACTATCAGGCATCGGCCAAGATTTTCAAAGAGGAATTGCCTCTCTGGAGGTCAGCATGGCCGGGACAAAAGACAACACTGGAGATAGCCATCTTTCAGGAAAAGATGAAAGCAAGCAGGCAAACGTCAATACTAGCGACCACCTCACCTAGCCTTGGAGTAGAAAACCTCCAAAGATCAGAATCTTGTTTTAAAGAAGGCAATTTCCTTTAAGAAATATAGGATTCCTGGCCTACTGCCTCAAGTTACCTACTGCTTCTTATTCCAGGTTTTAACTTTAGCTTGCTCTCTCCACTCTGATCTCCTGCTACTCTAGTCTCTGCATTTGCTTATTTTAGCTACTGAATGTGTGTGTGTGTGTGTGTGTGAGAGAGAGAGAGAGAGAGAGGGAGAGAGAGAGAGAGGGAGAGAGAGAGAAAGGGAGAGCGAGAGAGATGTAGTGTGGCACTTTAGTTTTTATACTTTTCCAAGCATATTCATCAATCTCTACTTTCAGTCAAGTCACCATCCCAAATGTACTGCAAACATGTACTAATAAAAAATAAATAAAGCAATAGCAATATGCTTTAAAACAACAACAAAGCAGCTGTTAGCCAGTCTTTAAGACATCTACAAAAAATAATCACTGTTACATGGATTTACTCAGCCTAGCATTAACTACTTTCCACAACCTGCTTCTGCCTTTGGTTTATGGTTATACTATACCCTAGCCAAACCAGCTCCTACTCATCCCTTAAATATGCTTTGAACTTTTCCAACTGTCTCTACTAGTTTCCTCATCATTACCTACTCCTACAAAAATTACATTCCTTCTTCAGTATCAGTAGTGAAGCCTTACCTCATTACCTGAGGAAAAAGTTATCTCTTTTTCCTTCAAATTCTAATAAGGAGCTTAGGTCCTATCTCATACAGATACGTGGCACACCTTATAATATATATCGAATTGTCTAATTCTAAGATTGTGAGTAATTTACCTTCTATACCTGTATCTACTCTATTAGTGAGGGTTCTGGTGGCCTACATAAACAGACATAGCAGAAAGTCTTATACCACATATGTTCAGGAAATATCACATAGTCTAGGTTTCCCTTAATATAGTTTCGTGCTTCAAACTCATTATTTACATACTACCTTAATTAACTTTATGATTTTTGCAAAATACATTTATTATCAACATCTACTTAATTAATGTTCTTTCAATTAAAATACTTTTTTACTTCATTATCCTCTTTAACTTTGTCCTATAAAGTGGTACATGAAATCATGGGTTTGATGCACTGTACATTGTTCTAACACATAGCAGTTAATATTCTCCAAGTTTTTCCAAGCACAGCGTAAACAAGCGGTACATTTTATAAAACACTGTTCATTCCTGTCTTTAGTCAATCCAAAAATATTTGGTTACTGTCTTGTGTATTTGCCTGGTCCTGTTCTATTCTTCAGAGCAGTAGTTCACAAGTAGGATTAATTTTCCCAAGGGACATCTAGCAATATCAGAGATATTTTTGTTTGCCACAACTGGATAAGTGTGTTCCTGGCCAGGGATACTGCTAAACATCCTACAGTGCAAACAGCAGCTTTCCACAATAAAAAATATAAGTATCAATAATATCAGGGTTGAGAAACTCTGCTTTAGGAAAACAATGGTGAACATGAGAAGACAAATTCTCTGCGTATAATCCAGTGACAGAATCCTACAAATAATACCCTCAGTACATTGAAGTAGGAGCCATTAGTCCATAGTTCTTAGCTTTTATTTTGCTCTGTGTATGTCTTATAAGGGATGTCATGCTGGTGCTGAGAGGATTTACATTACCATGATCTTTCTATAAAATTGTGAGGTATACTTTATTCATTTTTTGAGCTCTTACAATATAAAAATGACAACTTGACAATGCCAAACTGCAATGCTCAGTACAACACTTAGCTAGAATAAACTAACATGCATGTTATTAAGATTCCAGTGTCACTAAAACTGCCAACACTGCAAAATATAGGTTGGGTGCTGCCAAGTGGACAGTGTGTTTCAGATGGAGATCCAGACCAACCTTACATCAGTGCGCCACAACCTGCTATTATTTCCATTCAGCAAATAGCAAACACCATTTTATAACACTGAGTAATTTGAACATGGATTCCATAGTTATTACAAACTAATATACCAAGCAAAGTGTTAGCGCTTTTATATACCACTAATTTGATGAGTTAAAACTTCCTGAATCTGAAGCAATAATAACAGAACTTGTTTATTTTGCCTAATTTATGGAAGTTATATCTTTGAGAACTTTGTCTGGATTTGTTCCATGTACTTTTCAGTCTAAATTTTTCTACTTTAGTGTGTTAAGTTGTAGATATGGAAAGTATACATCACTATTTTTTTATGTATTTATTTTGCTAAACATAAACAGTGCAGTGATGACTACAGTCAAGCATTGCCTCTTAAACAATGGCAGGTTATACATGCAGATAAAGAGTGCTAACAATAGGTAAAAGCAAGAGTTTTCCACCAAACATACCTCGGTTTGAGGCCTGGCCTGCTAATTACTAGTTATCGGACTCGGCAACTTTACCCTATTTAAACTTTGATTTCTTTGCAAGTTAATTACCCTCTAAGCTTTGGTTTCTTTACCTGTAATGGGGTTATTAATGCTGGCTCTAATCTCACAGGCTTTAAGGAAGGCTTAAATGTGTACAGCTATAACTGTAAGAGTAAGTATGACCTGTGAAAATAATAATAAAGTG